ATCGCTTTACGTTTCGTCAAGGTTTTTAAGAATAAAAATAGTCAATTATATTTCTGCATTCTTACTAGTAGTAGTTTAGTGACTTTTTAATTTAACATTGACAGCTGATCCAGAAGGCGTTCGATATAAGGTCTCCTTGCTTCATTTCGCTATTTTTCTTAAAAAACGCAGGGAACTATTCATTCCGATTTATATACATATCTATAGAAAATATGTTTTGTATCGAGAGTCAAATTGGTAATTTATAACTGGAGGTAATGAGGAAAACCTTTAGATCAAAACAAAACACTTTTTATATTTAATTTTTTTTGTAACTACCAAGTGGCAAGGCCATGTCAAGGTCAAATTAAGATATCGAAAAAATGTGTTTTATATACATATGTTCGACAATACAGTTGTGCGATTTGTGGAGATCAGACAGAGGTAACCATGGCCTTGACCATAAAATTCGAGGTCAAGCCAAGATTTTCAAAGGAAAGATGTAATTTCTGTACCGGAAATGGAGAAAGCAGGAACTTTTACGTCGGAATGTTACCATGATCTCAAATATACCCATATACGTGTTGTGTGAAACTTTCAATCCAATATCAAATTATTGTGATATACATGCTGACAGCTTGAACAGCATTCTGGGAGTAGCTAGAAATTGCTTGAATTTATGATATGTTACTCACCTGAGTGAAATATCTTTTTTTTGCTTCTTTTTCTTGTTTGCTTTTTCTTTAGATGTTTTTGAAGGTCATAGCCAAGGTCATTGTCAGGTAGCCCCTTAGAACCCTACAACTTTCGTTGGAAACTTTTTTCTAGAATCCTCATATTACAAAATATACTAATTATAAAAAACTGATCTGCAGCACCCTTCATAAGATTAAAAACGATTTAGGTGTAATTTACAGTTCAGTAGGTTATACGCTCATCAAATTACAGTCTTTTAGTGCCGCTCTGCTATTCTCATTACAGCTCCATTATAAATCGGCTCAAGTGCAGGTTGTAGAGCCAGGCTTCTGTAAAAATCGTTGCACCCATTACACGCTTGGTGCACTGTTTCATAAAATACAGACAGTCATTACACGATGCCAAGTAGTAATTACACAGTCCAGGAAAATAATGAATGATACTGTAACATGCAGTATAGCGAAGTCGAATTAAAGGTTTATGTAAATATATGAATATACATGATACAACGACACATGCATCTTGCACATTTTAGCTAGGAATGTGATATTCTTTACCTAGACAGTATGGCATTTCTAATAGAAAGATTTTCATACAGAAATGCCGGGCACATATTACAAACTGAAATGTCCGCGAAGCAATTTGCATGAGGCTGCAATCACTCGGCAAATTTTTGTCTTCGGCGCACAATTTGCAACATTTTGCAACTGTACAATGCCTGGCACATGTGCTATCACACTCCGACATTGTTCCTTTTAGATATCAACGACTTCCTTTCCTGTATGGTCAATCCAATCCACAGTTTTGCTGATGATAGCACTCTACAAGCAGGAATTCAGAGTGACAAGCCGATCTCTGCCGGTGAGCTGGAGAAAAGAAGACTTGCAGCGACTTCCTCTCTCACAAGAGACCCAGTGGCTATCACTGCTTCGGGACGCTACAATTTTGTGTACCTTAATGCTTCCAAAACATAGTAATGTACCTTGACGAACAGGAAGCGTCCTAGCGTTCATCCGGTTTCGATAGATGACAGAATTCTAAAAAAGAGCCCTTCATTTCGACTGGTCGGAATCCAGATCACCAGGAACTTGATCTGGCAGGAACACATCTCGTCAATAGCTGCAGCTGCATAGCTGGGAAAGAGCTAGACTAATTTATTATTCATGCTCGATGGTGTTTAGAGGAGGAATGTCCCACTGATTGATGACTCTTCTCTAATGGGGTCCCTTCTCACCGGCGGGTCGTCGGCGATCTAGCTCTCTTCTACCGCTATGCCAACGGGCTTTACTCCTCAGAGATCTCCTCCTCCGCACGATCTGCCAGCCAGACATTTTCGCCTGACTTCAGCCTCCTATCCTAACCGTGTCCAGAACAGGCCGATACGACTGCTCCTTTCTCCCTAGCGTATCGAGATTGTGGAACAATCTACATGAGGAGGTTTTTCCCAGTTCTACTAACCTTGGCAGTTCAAAAATTGGATTAACAAAGTCTCTTTAAGCTCCTTTAGGGTTCCGCCTGCGCGGCTGCTTCGGTGCAAAAAAAATATTGAGCAAATTTATGGTAATGGAAACGCACCTTCATAACGCCTACCACAGAGGTGATTTGGCTGATCTAAACACCACGTTGATTTTCAAAAAGCTCTCTTCAACCAAGATATTTTTCTCGAATACAATACCTTTTTTTTTGGCCTAAGGACATAGAGATTGAATCCATTAGATAATTCTTCTATGTGCATATTTTTTCTAAAAGATGTTCTCTCTGGTTGTCTCATACAAAAATATTCACCAGACCGATTGTTCCAATTCTTTCGAATTAGGACAAAAACAACTCGTTTCCATTTTTTACGTTTCTTCCAAGCGAAGGCCGTTGAATAAAAATCAGGATGAATAATGATGATCATAGGCGTACGAACCTTTGAAGTCGAATATTGTATATAGTTTTTTTTGCGATTTTTGGATGTTACGTCACAATGTCATAAGAAATAGATAGACAGCTTGACTAACTGTACCATGTGCATAGCTTAACTTCTCTGAAGAAAATTGGACAGTGCGCATTCGCTCTTGCACACACGCACACATTAATTATCTGATACAGCAACACCATTGTTTTCGTCCACTTTCTGATAATACATCTACCAGTACAAACTTAATACAGACTGTCAACGTTGTAGTTGTATCTTCAGGCACTGCTATGTTTTAGATTATCGAATATCAGTAAAGGTAAACTAAAATTGGACGCTCATGATACGCAAGCTGTCGCACTGACATTGATAAGCTTAAATATGGGAGACTTTAAAACCAAAAACGTATGTATGAGACCTTACACGAACAAACGTACACGCATAGATGCCGATTACATAATTGTGTGAGGAAGATCGGTGTTTGATCTAACCGTTTGGCACGTTCCCTACCTGATTCCATGTTCGCTCGGGGGAATTTTCTTCAGAGGTGGTTATACTTTATTACTCTAATACACGTACGTAATATTCCTTTTCAGAATTCATTCAAAACTAAGCTCATGCGCCATAACCTTTGAATAAATTTATCTAATATTGTATTTCTTCTTACACATCTGCAAGTGAATCGCACTGTCGTCCAGCTCAAACGAGACGATAAAATCTGCACAGTAAAATGTAAAATATGTCCCGAACATAATGTACGCTCCACGCAATATTTATTGTAATGGGCACTCTAATCCACAGCTTTACTGGGGTCTTTATCGATATGTTTTTACATTATCGGACGACACAATAATGATAATTAGGTACTTTTTCATGTAAACTAGAAGAAGTCATCTGTATATGCTTAAACGTTTGAGATGTTATGCTGCTGTTAGCTGCTGTTTAAACATGGTATGAAAATAAGCAAAGCACCATCTAGTATCGACCACTAAGGAAAGCACATGTGTAGTTTACATGGTGTGACGTGAGAGCAAATTAATATGGGCCAAACATGGACGACAGCATTTTCGCCTGTATAAGAAAAATATGTTTTTATATTAAATTTTTACGGTATTTTAACTCTGAAAAAATATAGTAATAATTTTTTTCGCTAATACAGCAAATATTAACTGTGTAAGATCTACTTAAAAAAATGACAACTAGCCTATTCTCGGAGAGATTTTTGGATTGGGTATAACCACCAGCAATAGTAGAACTAAGTAAATGAATATCCTTAAATATCACAGTAACAGTTGACAGCAACGGAAATCCTACCAAACGCATAGGACTCAAGTTGGTTGATAGGACCTTAATTTTTACAGGCCATCTGGTAGTACTCTGAGGTTTTACTATGACCTGAACAAAACCGTGAAAAGACCTATAGTAGTTCTAGCTGGTAGATTTCATTGCGTTTCGAGAACATCAATATTTCACACCCCGGTATTTCTGCGCCAATGATCTCCGATGTCCGTCGCTTCAGAAAAAAAAGACGTGATATATCACCCAGGCGCCATCATGCCTGCAGACTCAAGACTGCGGTCTTTGTCCTGGAATCGGAACACCAGAGGATTTATTAATTGCTTTATCGAGCGCCATGTTATTATCCCCAGACTGTCATTTGCATTTCATTTCACTGCAAATGTTTATTTTAGCAGATGAAAAAAAATGTCAATAGCAGACAGGCTGGCAATGAACTGCAACGGCAAGGCGATAGTGCTTTCAAGTATTTTCAAGCGTCATTTGTATTAGAATTACTTATTCCTATTGCTAATCTTAATTATATCAATAACTAGAATTAGAAATTAGACTGGTGGATTAAGCATGTATGATGCTTCATAGAAAGTTGCAAGTAGAAAAGCGACTGAAAGATACATACAGGGTGTCCTGAAAGTTGGGACTTTCCTTTTCAGGACCTACTAAGTTTGAAATTGAAGAAAATTTCTCACTACACCCACGATACATATAAAACCGTATTGACACGTTATTATCAGTATGAAAAAACAAAAAATTTCTGGTATTTTGTTTTCGTCAATATTTGCTACAATAAATTGCGTGTTTTAATATCACGACGTTGAACGCAAAATACAGATATTTGTTTTTCAGTTTATTATTGAAACTCAGATTTATAACTTAAGTTCTGTAGGACTTATTAAATTTTTTTTCGAGAAATCAACGTCTTTCTTAACAGTTCATAATGTGGTTAAAATTTGTCGGATAAGTTGTATGGTTTGGTATGATAATTTTGACACTTGATTCTAGCGATTTCCTATATTCAAGTTATCAACAGTTGCAAAAATTATCATAGCAGATAAAATGTACGACGGCAAGCGCTTAGCTGTAGACATACCTATCTCATACTTCTTTAAAGCCGAAAGGATTAGTACAATTTTTAAATGGTATACAGTTTATTTTGCTTTCTATCCCAGCTACAAACTATTATTAATTCCCTGTATCGTACATAACATTCTGCGGTTTTACTTGAACATTGGCGCACGGTGCTAGATGTTGATCACCCTGCCCAGTTTATGTATATGGTTCAACAGAAGGTCGCCTTGTTTGATCACAGCCTTAAACACTTCACTGTTCTTTTCCAATGGTACGTTTACTATTTTTGCACTCACTTTGTCGATTTTGTAATTCAACCTGAAAAAGAAAGTTATTCATTTGCTACAGAACCCTTCCTTGACCAACGTAATCGTAGTAATAACTACTCTCTCGTCATATTGATGTCAATATATACGAGTATAATCTCGAGCTTTCGGCATTCTCTATGTTGCCATCTTCAGGAGTCGTCGTTCAGGTTGCAGCCAAATGGTGTTTCAAAACGAACGCGTGGATGGGAGCACTTGTTACAAATATAAATATATATATATATATATAGGTCAATTGTAATTGCATGTATGCATGTAGAAAATCTTGAGTAGTTTCAGTCAAAATGTCATTGACGAACTGGAAAGAAGTCTATGAATTTGTTGAAATGCAACATCTAACAAAAATTTGCGTGGAAAGGCTTTTTCATGTAAGAGTTTGGAATTGCAAGTTTGCAAATGTCCTATAGGATAAACTATAAACACATAACATACGGTAGGTGATGTTAAATTAGTATAATCACATATGAATTAGGACAAAAATTGAAATAAACATGGATGAACCTTCAGCAAAACTGAAAAAAATGAGTAAAAACTCATACATCAGGCATTTTTTTTTAAATTTTGCCTGAATTTTATATAATTTCATAATAATTAATAAACTGGTGACATTTCAATGACAAGCTATCATATCACATTTCAACATTGTTTTGTTTTCAATACTTCAACTCTATTAGTTGCCAGAAATTTGACGGAGAGATCTACAAGCCCATTCGCTGTATTTAACGGGCTCTTCTATCCAACTACCTTATTGGTGCAGAATAGTGGCGACTGTTTTGGTGAAACTAACCCTTAGAGAGTTTTTTGTGCTCTCATTTTGCTGCTTGGTTATTATTTTTGTTATGGAAATAATAAACTCGGTTATTTACCTACGAGTATAAGGGAGAGCTTATTTCTTAAGGTAATTGTTTTCTTTATGCGGCGCTGTTGGCAGAATTCGAGAAGCTTAAAAACTTTTATCACAATAATGTTAGGTTATAAAAACATATTGTTCAAAATATAATCCCTAATATAAGCTTTTTTGTTCGGTATGATGAGGTCTATCAGACTTAAACCGTACACAAAGAAAACGAATTTCTGAGAAATTAATAAAATACATAGAATTTCAAAAATATTCCGCTGAAAATTACAAAAATCCGTTCAGTCGAACCGGGTACCGAGGCTTAAATCTTCAGACAGAAATTGCTTTGCTTAAAAGTCCAACTTTTAGAAGAAATACATATATTTTGAAACTGGTTATAGATCAAGATTCTTTTGTTAAAATTTGTGATAGCGTGTTGACTCAATCCACTAAGACCTAAAAACTTTTGAGGTATGGGAAATTTGGAATAGGCATACGGGTATGCGTGGGATGTTGTGACTTTTTTATTTCCTAAAAGATTATTCACCTTCCGGCAGCAATGAATTTGCTAACTTCGTCCTCAATAAATTCTTCGGATACTCCAAACTGACTAGCCATATAAGGAACACCTAAAGACATGTAGGTAGATAACAGTTGATCGTAGGCTGTGATCCTCATTTCTTTGATGTAGTATCGATAGTGGGGATGGAGCAACATATCTTCTTTCATCATAACCTGTTAAGAATATCAATATTGGTAAAGTTGAGTTTTTAAATTTGGTTTCAGCCTATTTTCATAGTTTCCCGTGATTTCAAGACAATAACCTTAAGAAAATCTAGAAATCCATCGACTGACCCAATCAAATCACATACAGGGTGTGGCAAAACTACGGCTATGCCTCGAAAAATCTTTGAGAATATATTTTAGGTGGAATTGCTTCAAAACAAAAATTTAAAATGTAAACCCCTATTTTTCACCCAGCCGATGAAACGAGCGAAAAATTTTACGTTTTTATATGACCTCAGATTTGACCTTGACTGTTCTCTTGGGTAACTAAGTCAAGGATGATAGTTCCGGTCAACTAAGGCAAGATTAAGGGCCCCGCACGGCTATTATGTAAAAACCTATCGAACGTAAAAAAATGTCTTCGATTAGGAAATTTTTAAGGTACAAATAGTTGATTCCACGTTTGCTCGCTATGATCGCTGTTAGCGTCCATCTATGAAGGAATGACTCACTAACACGCATTGTTGGTTGCAGAAAGTAAGTATATGTTTTGTGAAGCCGAATAGTCTGTAGTGTTTATCCCTGATGTGTGAAAGAAAGTTGGTTGAGTAGCAAGATGATTCTGTGTATTGGTATGCATGTGTATAAAATCAGTGATATTTGCAATGTGAGAAAATTATTACTGAATATTGACAGCATATTGAAGTATATCTATTAGCTGTGCCCAACAGGTTTTTAATATGTTGTCCTTTATGAAGACAGGTTATGTTCAAAGTTATAAACGACGATTTTTCCCTTTTTTGTGTTTTCAAAAACTTTGAGGAGCATTACTGGAAATCACAGAAAAGTTAGGAATGACGCATCACATTTTCGCAGTGCCTCACATCTAGGCGCTGATTTGAATTTTGTATTGACATCGCAAAATAGGTTTCTATAAAATTGAAACGACTGGAAAAAATATAATGTAATAACCTTTCACTTTCATAAATATTCCTGTCTGTAGCATATTTTCTCACCCGTCACTTCACCAACCAGGGATTTTCTTTTCTTATATCTCTCATTTTTGAAATTCAGCAAATTCGCATATGTAATTTCCAGAATAAATAAGAAAAAGTGAACGCGCAACTAATTTCTAGCTTTGAATCTCAAGTAAGTGTATTTGAAACAAGAAACCAATGGCATTATCATCAACACATATTAGCACACAAATCCTCACTATACACCTATGTACTGCCGTTTCCTTCCAGCTTTAGTCTATAGTCTAAAACTTATAGCTTAGACCTTCAGTAATATCATATCTGAAGCAGATGTTACATCATATATGAGCCAAACATTGATAGCATCATGACGTTTAGGCAATACGTACAAGTACAAAACGAGTTCACAACAAGTGTCCATCAGCTAGTGCTAAGTTAACATTTTGTAGAAAAACGTTCGTTATGTCAAAAAACCTATATTACGTCAAAAAAAAACGACATGTCACTTTTCAAGATACCTAATACCCGTGCCGACCGTATAGTGGTAGTTTGGGTCAAGGTCAAACTACAACCGTATGAACGGGGTCCTGCATCTTGCCATAGTTGCCCGGAGGGTCATTCAAGGATCCTTTATGAACTGAAATGACGTTGTATGGTAAGTGCAGAGTCAATCTACTTGACGCCACGTTCGTTATTCCTATACAGTGCGTTGCCACAATAGATTGGACTATCCTGTAGCACGCAGAGACAATTCAATTTTATGCCACTACATTGTATAGAAATGAAAAAAAAAATACATAATAAATGAACTCTCATGAGGAGGATATATAAACAAAAAAAATTAATGTCGTTAATTGTCATTGTACTGAAAAAGGCTACCCTGGATAACGTCTTACAATGAATTAAAATTAAGTAAGTCCTATGAACATGGAAGCCACAGGATAAGTTGCAGGTGTTATACATCAGAATCTAGTGACTAGTCAAATAGTCCAAAAAAGATCATCCGCTTGGAGAAATATTCTGATCCAGTTTTCTTCTATAACATTATTCAAAAACGGACCTCTTTTATGATGCCAGGAAAAAACTTACGTCAAAAATTGTGCAAACATTTTTTAAACCAAATTACAAAAAATGCTGTTTTGTCCTGGACAAGTTTTTTTAGGTTGTTTGGATCGTTCTGAACGAAAATTGATAGTTTTCGAGATTTAAGCGTTTTAAGATTTGAATTAATGTGACCGGAGAAACGAACAGTTTGATGTAGTCAAAGTTCTTAAATATTCTTCAAACATCCATTAATAAAATCCCAAAGCATTTAAGGTGGTGTTTTGATGGTAAGCCTTTGTTTTTGAATCTACAATTACATCTTTCGCACACACAATCAAAAAAATAGGCCCTAAAATTTGGGATTATATTAATAGATGTTAAAAACTTAGTATTTTTGAGGTCGCACTTATTCAAATATTAAAACGCTTTTATCTCAAAAACTGTCAATTTTGGTTCAGAATGATCCAAAAAACCTCCTTCCTTCCTTTTGGGGGCTGAGCATGGCATATTTTTTGTTTATTCAAATATAAAAACTATTAGCTTTAGAGAAGAGTTCATGAGAACCTTCTTTATTCAGAATAACGAAAAAACCTTAAAAACTATGTTCGGAGCGAATACAAAAAATTTGAATTTGCTAAAAAAAGTCAAACAATTTTTTTACGCAATTATGAGCCCGGCAACATGCAGCTTTGTTAAAAATTTTCCACGCGGATGCGAAGACCTTCCTGGATTAATCTTTCGTTTTTTTCTGTCCATACCAGTAGTTATTGCGTTTCAATCTCAAAAAATTAATTCTTCGTAAAACTTCAAGGCTTGACAATATGAGAGACGTTGTTACTCATAACGTCATATTAGATATTTGACTTCATTAATCAAAGAAACATGAATGATCGTTGGTGGCGGGACAAAAATGACGCCAAATTATATTGAAATCACCCACTGCCCTTTATTATTTTACCTCTATGTCCGCCAACCGCTGGTAGAACAATCTATACTCGCACTCGTGCAACGAGAACAAGTACTCTCTGAGCGTGCTATTATAATGCAGCGCCTGCTGGATTTCAGGATTATCTATGAGCAGTTTTTTCACGTCTCCTCGTTTCAAGATCAGCGCACCACACAGCACAGTGTACTTGATAAAATCTGCGTAAGCCATGATTTCTGTACAAACGAACGTGGCTATGGCTGATACTAGAAGATCTGTCGCAGTATCAAAGTTCCTAATTCAGGAAAATAAGATATGAAACTGTTTGAAAAGGACACGTTTGCTTTTCGTATCTGTAATCATAACCAACCGCAGACAGCCCTGTTTCATGCTTCCATGACCAACCGCAAACAGCTCTGTTTCATGCTCATTAGCAACTCAGTGCGGTTTGTGTCTTAGGTATAGTCTTGGAGATAGACAAAACAGGATGGCTGCTATACACTCTCGCAGTGGTCTATTCTGGTAATAGATAACACTTTGCAGTATCTTACTTCGAAACAGCTTGTTTTTGCTCATCGATTAGGATTATATGATACTTTAGAGCCAAATTAAAAATCGAAAGTCATTAGTTTTTCACCAAAAATGTTTAGAAGCGATGCCAAAAGAAATGTTAACATAAACTTGAATGCTGAGACTATTGAAGTAAGTGAGTCAGCCAAAAACTTGGGCGTATCTTCAAATGAATGTCTAAATTTTATACCACATTTACAGAATATCAGTAAGAGTTGTTTTCCAATTTTACGTAAATTATATCTTAATAAACAATTTCTTGACTATACAACTAAAAAAATTTGTGTGATTCTTTGGTACTGTCCAAAATTAGTTATACTGATTTAGTTTCTCTTATATTTCTCGACTTAATATTTCTCACACGTCTCAAGAAGACCCAAAATTCACGTTGTAAGTTGATCAATAGTTTGAAATTTTTTATCATATCCGCTCTTTTTTCAACAAAATGGAATGGTTGAGAGTAGAAGAACTGCGTGAGCAACGCTTAGTAACTAACACCCATTGAGATTTGCTTTCATTCATTCCTCCGTTTTTTAAAAATAAGCTGGTATCTAGGAGCAATATTTTGTCTAGGAACATCACATGTCATCATTATTTTATAAATGCTTCATCTACATTGCAGTTATGTTTTATAATGATATACCTCGAGCCACAAAATCATATGACGACTTTGAAAGGCATATGAAGAAATTTATTTTGAATACATAAATAAGTTGCAAAAATTTATCTGGCATCCCACACAAATGTTCCAATATAAAATTCTGTTGTTTGTTTACCTGTTACAACAACACCTGAAATATTAAATATCCTTCAGGTACTTATATTTTATGTACATATTTTATACACCTATGTTTTTGATTTACTTGTAACTCAAATGTTTTTATGTTTTTGTATTGTTTTAGTTTTTTAGGGGTTAAGTGGCAGAGTAGCAATATGCTAAACTTCGCCATCACCTAAACAAAGACTAATCCAGAATGTCAACTTATTATCTATAATTCTAAGGTTAAATCTTTATTTGGACTACCTGATTGCAATGCAGTGGAGGGCTTTGTTGAAATTAAAGCAGTTGCGACTCTGCCAGTCGGCACCTAGTTCGACCAATGGCTCGGCTTGTTGGAGACTTCTTTGCATTAGGTCTAGGTCCATGAAGAATAGACCTAGGCGCATACGTTTGAAGATGTTTTCTAGCTTGCAACCTAAAAAAACTAAATCAAGTGAAAACATAGGAATCCAGGTAGTATCTTCGCATCTGAATTACACAATATTCTTATTAGAAACTTATTTACACAATCGTCACGGTTTCGAGGCTCTTCCTTATATAGCATCGTCGGGAGGACCACATGGTCCATTGCTCTTTTTGCTTTTTATTAATGATATCAGTACCAATATTGAGTGTGGAATATTGATATTTGCCGATGACTTAAAAGTGTGCATTGAAATCAACAGCATTACTGATTGTGAGTATCTGCAGTGTCAGTTATCAAATTTGGGAGACTTGTAAAAATCTGAATATTTCTAAATGCAAAGTCATAACGTTCTGTCAAAAGCAACAAAAAGTTCTGGACTGCTTGCCTCGCACTCAAAATTTACGGTGCAGAAAAAACCGTTGGGAGAGAGAAATACTGCTTAAAAATCTACTATCGGTTCCTTTTATGAGATAAAACTTCTCATTAAAACACTCGAACTTGAAAAACTATGTACATCTTTGTAAAAAAAGTAAAGCAAAGAAAAAAAAAAGAAAAATGTATTAAAGTAATATACCCTCAAAAAATTATCGCTTATTCTAAGAAAGTTATGGCAGCTCAAAAACCAAAATCATGGTCAATGAAATGGAGTAGGCTCGAGAGAACATGCCAACGTAGGCACTGCCCCATTATTGAACACGAAAAATGCCAGACAAAATCAAGTATACTCTAAGAATTTCAGTCAACGATAAAAGAGTTCATCAAAATGATATTTTACCTGTTTACATCACGCTTGTTTTTTTTTTCAAGAAAAAGAGGTGGTTCCCAGTAAAATCGGCTACAACCGGCTACAAAGCTGGATGAGTACTGGTGGTGGTTTTTCTCAATGCCTTCCCACTAAAAGGAAGCAGATATTGTAAAGAAACTTGACGCCCACTTGAGCCAACTTCTTCTCGACATGCATTAATTCACGTGGTTAGATGGTATAAAAAAGAACTTACCGCTGAAGGGGTGAAAATCCGATAAAAATACTCTTAGAGTAACACTAAACAACAACCAAAACAAACAACTAAAGGTAAGGTAGATACCATAAAGGGTACTACTCCATAAACATATTCCAAAATTTGGAAACCAACTGAAGGGCCAAGGCTTTAGCAGGAAAATGACCGACACACTTTCCTCACGGCTATTATGTAAAAAACCTATAAAACTTTAACTTCTAGCCCTAGTATGTCCGGCATGCATGAGTAGTTTTGTATATTCTGTTTTTTTTTCATTTGAAGCCGAGTTGTTTAACGATTCTTCTCAAAGATCTTTCGCTACCATGCCAATCGAAATCTTCTAGTTTCTTCCTAAGCGCTCCGACAGATCTGTCACGGGAAATTTGCGCTTTCGTGCAGTGCTAATTTCACCAGAAAACGCTGCCCGTTCTTGTCCATTACTTCCGGCATCCTTAACCTGTTTAACAATGGGCGTAATACTGGAAATTGCTACTTTAGCTTTAATCTCTGCCATATTTTGGGGACCGTCACTGCCAGTTTTGAAAAGCAGGATGAATTGGTAGTTCAAATATTATCACTATTCTATAAACAAAACGTGCGCTTTAACTTCAGCAGTAGGCGTCAGTCGGTACTCGGTATGCTACTGAAATAACTGCGGACGAGGTACCATGCAGTATTGCCGCCATTCCGTGGGAGGAGCTTGATACGCGCACCATATGACCAAATCTTGGTAGGTGCCGGCAACTGTAAATGTTTTGTGAAGCCGCGTAGTCTGTAGTGTTTATCGGAGATGTCACAGAAATGAAGTAGGTTGAGTAGCAAGATCACATCTGGATGATTATGTGTATTGGTCTGCATGTGTATAAAATCAATGATATTTGCTATGTGAGAAAATTACTACTGAATATGCTGCCAGTGAAGTTTATCTATTAGCTGTGCCCGACCGGTTATTTATATGTTGCCCTTTCTGAAGACAGCTTATGTTCAAAGTTTAAATTACGTTTTTTTGCATAAAACATTTTTTAAACAAAGTCAAAAAAATGTTATTTGCACAGATTTAAATGTTATCGAGTTTTTAAGATATTCTGAACAAAAAAATTTTAAACTTTTTTTCTAACGTTCAGAGTTTGCGAGACATAATTGATACAAAATATACCATTTTCGACTACGAAAAACAATTTGAAAAACGAAATTTTTGATGCCGTCAAAATTCCCAAATATTCTTTAAACATACATAATAAAATTCCAAAGCGTTTCAGTAGGTATTATTATTGTAAACCTTTGTTTTTAATTGTTAACGAAGCACGAGCTCGATGTATACTCTGGGTGCGCCCGACAAGCAATATGGGCGGCTGCCAGAAAAAGGAGCCCTAAATGAGATTATACAAAAAGCTCAATCAGAATACTTTTCACATCAAATGCGATGGTACTACCCGGACTATTGACGTTTTGAGAACAGACTCATCATCTACGCCCCCGATTAACCCGAGTAGCTTGTGTTGGTTGAAATTGCCGACATGCAAGGAATTTTGAAAATGTTAATTAATAGTTTGTCCTCAAGCTTTTAATGTGTTTCAAGGCAAAATTCCCATTTACGTCGCCCATCGCAACAAGTGAAGAGAACTCGGTATACTCGGGTAAATTGGGACGCTAATTTCGAACATGGACTTTAAAGAGTCATTTAGGAACGATTTTACTATTGAGCCGCGGATCGATTTACCTGCCAGTTGATCCGCGGATCAAAATTGACCGTTCAGAAGCCGTTTTTGAAGTGATGGATCTAATAAATATTGTCGACTAGACTAAACTTGTGGTTTCCGTCACGTGGAACTACTTTTTTTACGCAGGCAGAAGCCTAATTATCAGGGCACGAGGCCACTATGAGGAGCTGAAAACTTAATCCGATTTTTGAACTGTCTATGGTGAGTAGAACTGGGAAAAGCCTCCTTATGTAGATTGTTTCACAATCTCGATACCCTAGGGGCAAAAGAGCAATCGCATCGGCCAGATCTGGATATAAGAAGTTCGACTCGGTTAGGATGGGATGACGAGGTAGGCAGGCCTGTCTGGCAGGCACATCTGCGGCGGCTACATGGAGGAGAGCTTTGAGGAGCAGATCCTGTTGGCGGTAGAAAAGAGCTAGATCGCCGATGGCCCGCCGGTGCGGAAGGGTCGCGAGATTGTTCGTTACAGTAAAAGCATCGAGCTTGGATAATATAGTCGGGGTGGCAGCACCCCAAACATGCGAGCAGTTCTCGAAGCTAGGTCTTATATGTGCCTTGTACAGAGTGAGGAGGTCATTCTTCGCCCTAAACAAATAGCCTAGCTTTTTCCCGGCAGTTGCCGCTATTGACGAGATGTGTTCGTGCCAGATCAAGTCCTCGGTGATCCGCACTCCGACCTGCCGAACTGAACGGCTCTTTGGCAGAAATCGGCTATCCATCGAAACCGGGTGAGCACTAGTATGCTTCTTGTTAGTAGTCAGTTTTGGAATAACTAAACTGTACAACTGTGTTACGTCCCCAAGCAGTGATAACCTCCAGTTCTCTCGTCGCAGAGGAAGTCACTGCTTTTCTTTTGTCCAGCTCACCGGCAGAGATCGGCTTGTCACTCTAAATTCCTGCATGTAGTGTGCTGTCTTCAGCAAAGCTGTGGATCGAACTGATCTTACAGGAAAGGAGGTCGTTGATATGTAAGAAGCACAGTTGTGAACCAGAAAGGAAATCAGCCACCCATCTGCAAAGCTACGGGTCATTCGTTTTGCATTAGTGTGAAGGAGATTGGTTTCGAAAAAAGAAAAACGATATTCAAAGTATTTATAGTGCAATAGTTACTTTAGCAATTAACATTTTTTATCCAACATCTTGATACAACAATCAATTAATTTAAATGTTTCGCTTTTTGATATTCTCGACAAAAAATTAGGTGTTTACTTGGAAATTTATCTGATCTTAAGATGACCTTGCAGGTCATGGCCAGGTTCATTGATAAAGTTATATTTGAACTTGAAATTGTCTGCAATTTATACCATTGCATTTCAGAAATTGAAATTAGATGTTTTCCGATAAAATTTCATTTGATCAGCAAATGACATTGATGGTCATATCCAATGTCATGGACATACTTGAACATAAACTTTATTGCTCCTATCTTCGGTATCAAAAATATTGGTGTCCATTTAAGAATAAACTGTCTACCTTCCAATGAGCTTCAAATAGCTTGTTGATCCTTTTACTACTTACCTGTTTCCAACAAGCAATTTAGGACTATCAGATATTATATACAGTCATGGATACAAATTAAATATACATATGATGTTGCCCTGAATGAGCTGCTCGGATCTGGTCTGCTATATGTGACCGTTCCGCTCTATCGGAAATTGTGGAAAGAACCGATAAGTTCGAACCTGTACGGACTAGACGTCGACCTATGTCGAAGGCTGAAAATTGTACTGGAGAATTTGCCTGATTGCAGATTCTGGGTACCAATTCTGTGATGCAATTTTGTTGTTGTCGACCATCCTGAATATTCATAGGCGCTTCCACTTAACGCAAAGCTGTTAGTTTAACACCGATAAGAGTCTCACCTAAGGCAACAGTGTTATCGTAAGCTTGACTAAGCGATTTAATTGTGTTTTCCTTGTCGCCGATTTTGCACAGGTAATTTGCCTTGTGTAGATACGCCTGTTTCACGTCGATTGTGCTTAAGTTTTCCAATGCATCATCGATTGCTTTGTCCAGCTCTGCTAGCTTCACTGCATTTTGATCTTTTAACTTTTTCATGATGTGATCTGGAAGATGAGCCGAGGGAATTATAGAGCTTTAATGTCTTTAATGTCCCCCTTCCCTTTGATTTTTTGAACGGATCAATTCGAAAAATTAAAACTTGAGGTAATGAAATTGATGCGTGGATACCATATTTTAGAGTAAAATCGACAGATGAAAATGTCAAGATGGCCGCTGGGCGCCATCTTGAAAAAAAATTATATGACAACGGGGGTCTTGTGGCACATCATTTTGAAGCTCCTGACGAGTACTTTATAACCCTAGAATATAAAGTCAATACCTTTACCTACTACAAAATGGTGGGGCATTTAATAATTACTTGAACACAAACCCACTAACATGCATATCTCTACAAATAATTGTAATTCCCTGCCGTATCCACAGCAACAGCGATAAAAACTTGTTTTGTTATTTTTTGTTGTCAGTGCCAAGAATATCAGTATGAAAATAAACATCATTGTACAGTTAAAATATTCTTATTTTGTTTTGCGGTTTTAGTGTTGATACTGTTTGCACTATTTTTAAAATGGCCAATTCTCGTCCATTGGAAGAAAAAATCGAAGCGATTTTTATTTATGGTGCGACGCGTAACTTTCACGAGACCGAAAGGATTTTCAATGATCGTTTCCCGAATCGTCCTATCTGTAGAAAATATTTAAGGGAACTTGTATCTAAATTTACAGCTACTGGTAGTGTAAACAATAAAAAGCCCCCAGGTCAACCGACCATCCCGGAAGAAAAGCAAGTTCAAGTAATTGGTGAGATCATAGTAAATCGCCAACAGTCTACTTCCTCCATCGCGAATGTATGTGAGGTTTGTCCTTCTACTGTATGGAGACTTTTGAAAAAGAATAAGTATCACCCATGCAAAATTCAAATGGTACATCAGCTAACTGAAGATCCCTGATTGAAGAACAGAATTCTGCGAGATTATGACGGAAACCATTGCACGGCATCCTAGCTATAGCCAAAATATTTGTTTTAGTGGTGAATGTACATTTTTTCTCAACGGTAATTTGCATAGACATAATTGTCGTAACTGGAGTGACACCAATCCTCACGTCTTCCGGGAAACTCATACTCAAGATCCACAAAAAATTAACGTTTGGGCTGGGATATTGGGAAATCATATTGTAGGGCCTCTATTCATCGAACAAGCTTTAACCGGGGAACTGTAGTTGGACATGCTGGAAAATACTATTGACCCTCTAATCTCCGAAATCGTCGAAGCGAATCCTAATGAATTCAATACTGATATTGTATTCCAGCAACATGGTGCTCCACTATATAACTACAGACAAGTTAGAAATTATTTAGATAACAATTTCCCCGGTCGTTGGATGGCCGTCGAGGTCCTGTGGAATGGCCAGCTCGCTCGCCAGATTTGACACCTTCAGACTTGTTTTCATGGGTCTATTTGGAGCAAAAGGTGTGCGAAACTGAACCTGTTTCAATATTGGATATATGGCTGAGAATAACAAATATTTGTAGAATTATCGATGTTACTATGTTTGAAAATGTTCGACGCGAAATTACGGACCGGCTGTTGTTGTGTCAAGAAGTTCAAGGCAACCATTTCCAGCATCTTCTAAACTGAACACAACGTATTTATTCGAATTGTCAAGTTAAATGTCAATGTGTTCAGGTAATTATTAAAGGTACCACCATTTTGTAGTAGGTAAAGGTATTGTCTTTATATTCTAGGGTTATAAAGTACTCGTCAGGAGCTTCAAAATGATATGCCACAAGACCCCCGTTTTCATATAATTTTTTTCCAAGATGGCGCCCAGCGACAAAATAAAGAGGGCTATCAGTGTATTTATCTTACATTTTACATTTAAAACTTTTCATTTAATGATGTCTACGAAAGAAGTTTGAATCGCTGACTGCTTTTATCAGCACACGAACATTATTAAAAAATGAAAATCGTCGAATTTCGTAGTCATCCGTACCTCAATCGCTTATACACAACAATGTATGTTTCATCAGGTTTCGGAAATAATTCGTCTTGTTATAAAAATTTGATAAAACCCAGGATAAGACTATACTTTAGCGCATATCGCAAATACTTCATTCCTTATTTTAAAATGAAAGACTAGGATGTACCCTCCAAAAAATTTTTTGTGGCTGTTGCATAACATATTAAACGAAAAACGTGATAATGATATACGTCAATAAATGTTTTTATGTACGTATACTCTAGGCCGCTTACCTTGAATATTCCAGCCTAGCTCTTCTGCTGCAATTTCATAGTAGGGACCCATTTCCTCTGATACAATCATATCCAATAGCTTTTTCTTTAGCTCTACATCCTCTGTATAATCTGGAAGAGATACTTTGAATTTCAACTGAGCTAGTTTCAAATTAGGATATCTCGCGTAATGATCACTTTCTGAATTTTCTGGTTCCATCTTTTAAAATTCGAGAGGGAGGGACTACTATTCAACCGTGTCATAGTTTTGACAAAAATAATGACATGTTTTTTAGGTTAGGTTATAGCTATAGGTGGTTCTAGTCTTGACCAAATACCATGGGTTCATACCCTTTCACTATGAAGGAAGCATTTTTTATAGCTCAGTCAGTAGTACTTTTTTCGGAGATATCTTGAAATTTCGGTTTAATGTTATATTGTCGTTAATAACTTAAAAGGAAGTTCTTGTATTTCCTACAATCATCATTTATACAGGGTGTCATGGAAGTTTGAAAAAATGAAGGCAATTTGCGGTAAAACAGCACCGTAAGCGTAAACCAGAAATTAAAGGTAAATACTAACTAATGGGTGATTTTGTTGCTAGTATCTTTTTGGCAACACTGTTTTTGACAGATGACGCGTGAATCGTGTCTTGTGTCATTGTCAAACTTGTTCAGTTTGGTCTATAATTTAACCATGAATCGACTTACGAACGAACAACGCTTGCAAATTATTGAATTTTACTATCAAAATTCATGCTCGGTTAAGAGAGTGCATCGAGCACTGCTTCCAATTTATGGGCAATTTGGTCGGCCTACTGAGGGAGCCTTTCGGAAGCTTGTGACTAAATTTCGAACCCAGTTTACATTATTGGACATTAAACCACCAACACGCAGACGTAGAGTGACGACTGAAGAAAATATTGCGGCTGTATCCGCCAGTGTTAGTGATGACCGTGAAATGTCGATTCGCCGTCATTCGCAGCAATTGGGCCTCTGTTACTCCACTACGTGGAAAATTTTGCGACAGGATTTGGGTGTAAAACCTTATAAGATACAGCAGGTGCAAGAATTGAAGCCACACGACCTCCCACAACGTTTCCCATTTGGTGAATGGGCGCTGGCAAAGCTGGAGGAAGATCCACATTTTTATCGAAAAATTGTGTTCAGCGACGAAGCTCATTTCTGGTTGAATGGGTACGTTAACAAGCAAAATTGCCGCATCTGGAGTGAATACCAGCCAGAAGCATTGCAAGAGCTACCAATGCATCCCGAAAAAATCACTGTTTGGTGTGGATTATGGGCCGGTGGCATCATCGGGCCGTACTTCTTCAAAGTCGACAATGGCCGGAACGTAACTGTGAATGGCGAGCGCTACCGTGCGATGATAACAAACTTTTTTTTTGCCCAAAATGGAAGAGCTGGACTTGGCTGACATGTGGTTTCAACAAGATGGTGCCACATGCCACACCGCAAACGAAACAATGGCCCTATTGAGAGGCGAGTTCGGTGAACAGTTTATCTCACGTTTGGGGCCCGTCAATTGGCCGCCTAGATCGTGTGATTTAACGCCGTTGGACTATTTACTTGTGGGGCCATGTTAAGGCTAATGTCTACAGGGATAAACCAGCGACGATTGACGTACTGGAAGCCAATATTGAAGTATTTATTCGTGAGATACCGGCCGATATGTTGGAGAGAGTGTGCCCAAATTGGATCTTGCGCATGGGCTATCTAAAGCGGAGCCGCGGCTAACATTTACATGAAATAATCTTTAAACATTAAATTATATCGACCTCTTAAAAAATCACCCGTTATTTATTTGGTATTGCATTTCAAGTATTGCCATGTCACATGTTTTGTTTGTAATTACTGCTTCCTGTTCGATTCAAAAGCACTAATTTCTTTACTTCTTCATGAATTTGTAACATGTGGTGCATCCACAGACGGCTTATGCATGATATAAACAAAACTACGCAGCTCTGATGGAAATATCGAGGAAGACGGTGACGATCTAAATACTCATAGTAAACTAATATCAACTCGATAGCTACCTTATTGCTGTAAGAGTGTGCCAATTTCTGTTTCCAAATGCGGTTACTCTTCGACGAGGCAGGTCGGAATGTATTTTTTCGGAAGTCAGTATCTCGGTTATCTGGAGGCTTTTGGTACATGTGTAGAAAAACTTGCTTAGTATTGCTCAACCTATACGCTATGTAAAGGGAAGTCCCAACTTTGAGGACATCCTGAATAGTTAGTGCTTTATTTTATCTTCTACTCTGTTGTTGCAGGGAATATGTCCAGCAAACAGGCTCAGATTAATTCCTGGGGTATTTGAGGACACAGGGCAATCGAGAATGGCATGTTCCTCTCCTCAGTTCTCAGAACCCGGTGATATTAGTTATCTCCAAAGACAAGGAAAAAGGAGGAGTTGGCATGTTCATCCAAATCAGGTAAACTAAATAGTTTATTCCTCAATTCCATATATTTTTGTTACAATGTTATATATGCCACGGTTACGCCCGTTTTGCACCGGCTTTCTCAAATCTGATACTCACCAAAGGTGATCCGAATCTTGTGGACAGCCAGCAAATCAATTGAAGGGATACCTGTCTCCACCAGCAGTGCATCGGTCAACACCTTTCTGTAAGCGCAGCAATACTGTTCGTTGGCTTCTGGTCATTAGCAGTCTATATTTCTTTTTGCGACGACTTTATTTACCTTTTCAGCGGTGAGCCTTATGTGTTAATTATTTTCAGATCTTTGCCGAGCCAAACACTCAGATACTCAATTGTATTTTGGCTCCGAATCTCGGTTATCCCAACCTTGTTTTTAAAGTAATTAGGACCAAAGGCGGATTTAGGATTTCGTCTGGGGGGTAATTTTTCAACCTCAACCTTAAATCCATTGTGTTCTATCTGGTCAATGCCAGCTTGAAGAAAAAAACATTATTATATGAGAACAAAATAAGTACGTGGCATTTATAATTAACTAGTGTAATAGTATCAAGGAACAACACTGTTAACCGAAAAAAAGCATTCTGAGCGACCCAGAGACATATCCCAGTCTATATCATACGAAACAATGTCTTTGATGGCGAAAACGAGTATGACATCGAAAAAATCACATTATCGTATGGACGCCAGACGAGACAAAGAAGGATGTCTATATACCATCTATAGATCGTGTCTTGAGACCGTCTTCAGACTGCCTATAGACAAATTGCTCAACGGCGTCTACTAGTGTGTACTAAGCTTAAGGATTAAGACTCTGAACTGCCTATTAAACAAATCAAGTGCAAATACTGACACAATTAAGCACTTCTATTATATCAGCAGGTGATACAAATATCAATAGTTATAGTCAAATATTTTTTGAAATTCAATATACTTAGATGTTACAGTTGCTCTTCAGACTTTCGTTGTCGAACTTAGATTTACGGCATAGTTGTTGATTTCTCAGTTTTCGAATAGGTGTTGATCGCATGTAAAAATGTTGGTAATCTTTAGAAAAAAATATATCTGTTAGATGTATTTATTTTGATAATGTGTGTTTGTACGAAACTAGTGCAGGAATACAGGGCTGTACATATTCACGTGTAGTGCGGAAGCTCTTTAAACGAATTCAATATGGCAACATAAATAAACACATACGCGGGAAGAGATGCGGGACGTGTGGTATTATTGACTTTGAGCATCGATCGACGCATTTTCTGGACTGGTCACAGGCGCACCGCTAAACAAATCTCATAAATGTCTATTTTCCATTTAGGCGTTCATAAATCACTTTTTAAGTGCAATCTGTATATCTAATATATTACTCAGACTTAGATTTGTCATAAGTCACAATACTCGTATATACGTCCAAATCGTCTTTCGGTCTGAGCATAGTACGGAGCTACAGGCCATAAGGCTTGTTGAACGAGTAACTAGGGGGTTCACCCGTAACGAAAGTACTGGCATCTTGCTACAGGATGTCTCAAAGTCATTTGACAAGGTGTGGCACAAGCGCCTTCTCTACAAATTGATCCATAAGGGCTTCCCCTTCTGGCGCCTAAAACTTTTGAAATCCTTTCTCGAGGGTAGGAAATTTCGGATCAAAATTAATAACGTTCTGTCGACAACACGGCCCATCAAAGCCGGTGTCCCTCAGGGTTCGGTTCTTGGACCAGTCCTTTATTCACTCTTTATTCATGACGTCCCTTGCCCCAGCAGCTGTGAAACCTATCTCTATGCTGATGACACTGCCCTGGTGGCCCAGTCGTGCTCTGGGTATTGGAATGGGAGAATCGGTGGCTGATCAAAATTAATCATTCGACAACGCAGGCAATCTATTGTAGTAAAAACGTAGCGGCGCCCCGTCTCGGGTACCATGGGAAAGCTCTGCTAAGTATCTCGGTGTCACTCTTGACAAGAGGATAACCTGGCAGAAGCACACTGAAGCGTTAAAAACTAAATTCCAAATCTCGTTTCGGCAACTCTACCCTATGCTATATAGAACATTAAAATTAAGTTTGAACAACAAAGTTCGGCTATACAAGATGGTTATTAGACCAGCGATCACTTACGCAAGTGCGGCTTGGTGTTTACTCGCCAAAACGCATTTGCGAAGCCTGCAGGTTTTGCAGAACAGAACCTTGCGTACAACGCCCTATGGTATGTTTCCAACGAGACTCTTCACAGAGACCTTGACATCCCTTACCTAAAGGACTACATCAAACAACAAGCGCAGCTATGTTACAGTCAAGCAGAATCGCATAACAACCCTTTGTTGCGCGAGTCAGTAGACTACACAGTCGAGCAAGTTCGCAAGCACACAAGGACGCGACTCGCACTGTGAACAAAATTAAATCGTGCGACTTTAGGTCCAACCAAAATTATAATTTTTCTTCAACAACCAATACTAAAATTAATTTTAGGATCAATTTAAAATTGCCGAATACTAACTAGCAATGCCAAGGCACCCCTCAAATTGATGCACTTCTTTTTTACTTGCTCTCCCTCCTTCCTTCCTTGCTTTCTTCTTCCCTTCTTCTCCCTGACTTTGTTTGGTATCTGGGCAACCAGACCTAACAGACCTACTGACTTACAAGACTTCAACCAAGAGCAAAGGTCCTACGGACCGCTCTAACAGACAATGACGAATAGTACGTCCAAATCGTGTTGTAAACGTAAGTGATGTCAAAGAGCGACAGCGAATACCCAACGATGCCAGAAAATCGCAATGCTTAGTTCCTATCTATAACTTATAGTTAGTATGCCTCTGTGGCCATGATGTGTCAAAAGATAACACAATGGTGTTAGATTACAAAATCAAGTGTCAGACGTCTATGGGGGAGGGAGAGGGGGCACAATACATATGGTTATATCACTGGTTTTGCCCTTTTACTTCTTGCGCCACTTCGAGGAAGTATTGTATTCGCGAAAAGATTTAGAAAATGAGATATGCCTTTTGGATGTTATACGACATGTATGTTAGTTACATCACTA